AGGTAGGGTGGCAGGAGGGCTGGGTTCTTCTCTTTCTTTAGAGTAGACTGGTAGGATGCAGTTGCTGACTGGGTGAACTGCATTAAAGTAGGGGTCTGGCTGACTATTGCAGAGGGAAGTTTAAAATCCCCACCTTCCGGGCCCTCCTGGTGGGAAAAGAATGGAAAAGGGATGGACTGACAAGAACACGGAAGGAAGTCATCTGGCAAGAGAACAAGTGACAAGTGACTCCGTTCCTAATTTGAGTCTGGTTATCTCCCACCCCCTTTACAGGGTTCCCCAGATTCATGATGGCAACACGAAACTGTCCACTTCTGCACCTGCCTCAGATCCTTATTTATTTTGCTTGAAAAAGATCCCATCACTTTTCCAGTTGCATATATGCAAAATCTGGCGGCCCTTGGGCACACATTCTACAGTCTCCTGCTGTCATCCAGGCTACTCAGACTTGCATGCCTGGTGACACCAGGTAGACAGGGAGTTGGATATGAAGTAACCAAGGAGCACTGCAGTTGGTAGCCCTGTTTTCTGGCCCCCTTTGTCCTTAAACATCCTTGAAGCTTCAGATAGGTTCTTCCTGCTATATCTAAAACTAAGGTGCCAGGGCACTTACTCAGTTACCACACACATGCATTAATGAAGGGCCTGCATCCTCAGAGGGCCCTGACTTCATTATAGTATCATTTTCACTGTGGTCTGCCCCCTTACCATGGGTTTCCTAAAGGATCATGGGAATAAATACTCCAATGGGAGCTCTGATCCACAGTGATCTGAGGAAGGAAAAGAAATCACCTTATTTCATTAATATGTCACTCACCCCATATTCATAAACACCTGTAAAACCCACACTGCAGAACCCACTGAGCTGTTCTGCACTTTTAGGGGAGCCCACTCCAATCTCACTTTAGAACATTTGTTTTGATTTGCTAAGTAAACCTCTGCTTAAACTGCCTATGTCTCACCAGGCATGGTGGCATTCTCCTTTAATCCCAGCTAGGTAGAGATCTTGGTGAGTTTGAGGCCAGCCTGGTCTACATAGCAGGTTCCAGGAAAGCCACAGCTACGTAGTAAGAACATGTCTCAAAAAACAAAACAAAAAAAATGTAACAAAACAAAAAAATTCCAAACTGTCTATGCCTCTTGGGATTGAACCCAGGACCCTGTGTTTGCTAGGTGAGTGTTCTACTACTGAGCTACATCCTTACCCTGGATGGTGTCTCATAACTGAATTTTTTTCCTTGCAGAAGACAAGAAGCAAGAGACCACCATAGATTTGTTCTTTTTTCTGTTAGTCACTGAATCCCTGTCTCTAACTGGGCAGCTACTACCTTTCCCAGTCCCCTTAGCAGCAGGGGGAGGATGGATGACTGGCTAGTACACTTCCAGAAATACTATTTGGGAAAGAGAGAGATTTACTGTGATTTGCTGAACATGGTGGCCCATAACTATAATCCTAGCACTCAGGAGCCTGCAGCAGTGGGATGATGAGTTTGAGGCTGCCTGGACCACATCTAAAGATCCAGGCTGACTTCAGTTATATAGTGAGACCTTGTCACAAAACAAAGCAAAGCAAAACAAAACCAACAAAAGCATGTCTCTCTCCTATCCCTCATTTCTGTTGCCTGAAATGTGATGGCTAGAGTATGGCAGCTATATTGGATGCTAAGGAAAAGGGTCAACTCCAGTTGGGCAGAGAACAAGCTAAGAAAAAAAAAACAGGAACCTAATGACCACACACTAGCCTGAGGCTGCTTACTTCTTGGTGTCTTCCAACTGAAGGAGAAATAATCTAAGCCACCATTATTTTCTTTCTTATTCCTGCTATATGCAATTGAACATGATCCTGACTGAGAGAGTGATAGCTAAAGAATGTTTATCTAAGTAGCATAAACAGAAATGAAAAGATAAAATTTTTGTAAGTTTCTGTGGCCTCAGTTAAATTCATTTTATATGTAGTGACTCCAGTGCATATCATTTAAAAAGAAAAATACACCTGGGGGGGGAGTTACTCTACTGTAACTTAATTTTTTGTATGAATTTTTCATGGATGGAAAAGTCCTTACTCAGGACTGTGGGAACCTGAACTGTGCAAAGGCAAGTCTGCTCCTGTGTACATCACAGAAGCCAGACGCTGCCCCATCTACTCCCCCCGAGCAGACTCATTACACAGTGCTGTTGCACTCTGCTTCGAGTGGGCATTTGCCATATGGCTTGGCGGTTTAATCATTTCCTGGTACTTGACAAAAACGAAGCACAATCATTTTGCGAGGAGCTTGTGCTCTTAGATGGGTCTTTTCCAAATAACAGCTGTGACTCAGAATTGAGTTACTCAATTTGCAATTTGTGGACACGATACTCAAACATTTACAAGTGAGCAAAACCTCAAGTTACTTGGGCTATTTCCAGACATCAGAGACTATGAAGTTTTTAGCAATGTTTGGAGGGTTCAGCTGTCCACAAGCTCCAGCCAAAATCTCATAGCCACCAGAGCCTGTGGGCAGCAGTTGTGTTTGATAGGAGGCCACACAGAGGTTACCATCAACTGGGGTGGGGGTGGGGTGAGAAATCTGCCTCCAAAGCTCCAACCCCACATGCCTTTTTACCTGCGCATCACCACATTTGTACAAATGACACCAGGATTGACAGCTCTGGTCTTGACTATTTACAGATGCCTACAGGTCCATACTAACTTGGTAACAAGCCAGACAGATAGGACGCAAATGAAAAATTTCCTAGTTGAGTTACTTTGAATGACTGTCCACTAAGAAGACAGGTAGGCAGCATTAACATCCCCCAATTTTAAGATCAAGTTTGCTTCTTGTGAGTTTTACACACTCACTCCATGCAGCTTAGAACTCTACTGTTCTGGCTAGTTTTGTGTGCCAACTTGACACAAACCAAAGTCATCAGGGGAAGGAGCTTCAGTTGAGGAAATGCCTCCATGAGATCCAGCTGTAAGGCATTTTCTCAATTAGTGATCAATGGGGGAAGGCCCAGCCCCTGGTGGATGGTCCTGCATTCTATAAGAAAGCAGGCTGAACAAGTCAGGGAAGCAAGCCAGTAAGCAGCTCCTCTCCATGGCCTCTGCACCAGTTCCTGCCTCCAAGATCCTGCCCTGTTCGAGTTCCTGTCCCAACTTTCTCCAATGATGAACAGCAATATCGAAATGTAAGCCAAATAAAACCCTTTCCTCGACAACTTGCTTTATGGTCATGGTGTTTCGTCACAGCAATAGAAACCCCAACTGAGACATCCACTCTGTGCATATTTATTCCTCAAACCAGGACTCAAAACAAGAGCTCAACCACCTCCTCGAATAGAGCCAGCCACTAGTTGACAAAGAGGGCTCCAGGAGGTCCCTTACCAGGAACTGTACCTTGGTTACAAATTGGCACATGTCACTTCCATGGACTCCATGCTATTAAAATGAGCAAGAAAAGATGTCCTAGTGGAGGGCTGGAGACATCTGACTACCCTGTACTTTTACTACAGTAGGTTCAGTCATCCCAAGCCTTGGTGACCCACAAGCAGAGATAATCACAGACATAAAATCATCTCCAGGGTTGTCAGCAGTGACCATGATGAACAGTTAGTAGAAAGCCTGGCTCACAGAAGGTTCTCCAGAAAATTCTTTCTCTTTCTCTGTGTTTAGAAATTCCAAACCTGTTCTGGCTGTTTGTACCCTCAGTCTGAAAAGGATTCAACTACTCTGCTAGTTGTGCATGATCAAAACCTACCAGCTTGCTATGACATCTCCTAATTCTCTCTCCTTCCTCCCCTTCCCCCCCCCCCCGCGTGTGTGTGTGTGTGTGTGTGTGTGTGTGTGTGTTTGTGTGTGCACGTGGAGGTCAGAGTATAATCTCAGGTGTCATTCCTCAGTGTTTTAGTTACTTTTCTTTGCTGTGAGGAGTCACTGGGATCAAGGCAACTTACAAAAGGAAATATTTAATTGGGGGCTTGCTTATAGTTTCAGAATGTGCTTCCATGACTATCATGGCAGGAAGCATGACAACAGCAGGTAGACATGGCACCAAAGCAGTGGCTGAGAGCTTCCATTTGATCCACAAGTTGGAAGCAGAGAGAGAAAAAGTGACTGGGAATGGCATGGCAAAAGCCCTACCCCAGTGACACACCTCCAACAAGGCCTCACTTCCCAATCCTTTCCCAAACAGTTCCACTGACTAGGGACCAGGCATGTAAATATATGAGCCAATGGGGGCTATTCTCATTCAGACCACACTCAGGTACAATCTACCTTTTTTTTTTTTTTTTTTTTTTTTGAGGTATGTTCTCTAACTGGCCTAAAGCTTGACAAGTAGGCTAGGCTGGCTAGCCAGTCAGTCCCAGAGATCTGCCCGTCTCTATTTACCAGAACTGGCATGACACACATATGCCTCCAAACCTGGCTTCTTCTGTAGGTTTCGGAAATCAAACTCTGCTTGCCTGGGAAATGCTTTACTGACTGAGCCATCCCCTGAGCCCCACATCTTGCCATCTGTCACCACAATGATGCAGCCAGTCTTCAGGTATCCCTACAGAAACCATTTTAGGAGTTCATTACCTTACTCTAGCAGAGTTTTTTGTTCATTTGTTGTTGGGTTTTTGTTGTTGTAGTTTTGTTTTTGGACAGGGTTTCTCTGTGTAGCTTTGGAGCCTGTCCTGGACTTAAACTTGCTCTGTAGATCTGGAGCCCAGGTTGGCCTCAAATTCACAGAGATCCTCCTGCCTTTGCCTCCTGAGTGCTGGGATTAAAGGTGTGCGCTACCACCAAAAGGGTTTTTGATAGCTAACAAGAGAAAACAACAAACTCTGGTTACCCCAGTCCACCACCCTAGCAAAAGCAAAGCAAACAAGGAGTATGGCCTGTCCTCAGAAGGCCACCTCAAGGAATAGAGGTAACCACGTCCTCTCAGGGAAGGCAAGGAACAGGGCAATGACACAGTGTCAGCATGGGTAAGAGCTCATGAGACAGACATGGAAAGTGGGGTCCCAATACTTACAAAGCTGTTCCCAGAGAGGAGCAGACAATATAAACTAGACGGTCTCTTTCCAGAGAAGCCTTCCACACCTGTTAGGTGACAGAAACTGAAATCACCACTTGCTATGGATTTGGCACTAGTCCAATATGCTAAGCAGATGACCCAGTCCTGAAGCGTAGGCTCAATTACTCACACAGACATGATGAACTTGAGTGTTGGCCATGTGCTTGGGGTATGGAACCCTGGCCCTTATGTCCACCCAGTGGTATAGTCTCACCGAGACTCATTTGACAGGCCACATCTTCCATTTGGCTTCAGGCTTTTGGAGATTTCCGTCCCACTTGTCTCTGAGCAACGCCTTGTTGCCTGCATGTCCTCCATGTCCTTACCAAGCTGTGATCACCTAACATTGCTTTTGATTATGCCTGCTTCACGGGCTCCTATTCAAGCCCCTTCCTCTGCTGAATGTCTCTTCTTTGGCATTCCTCCTGGTCAGTGTCTCTTGGTGGCCTACCTGGAAGTCATCTTCCTCTTCTGGCCTCATAAAGGTGACACAAGGTGTGTGCTACATTGTGAAAATGCCATCCTTCTCTTGCCTGGCACACTGAATCCCTAGGGCAGTGGTCTCTTGGGCTCTAGTACATAATGGAAAGAAAAGTTGCTTTGTTCTCTGAAGAAAAGGATTAAAAGCAGATGCAATGGGAGCCTGGGAACAAAAGCTCTTTGTGGAAGGGTCTAGGCTGGAACAGGTAGAAGCCACAAGGAAGAAATGCCCCCCCCCAATCAAAACAGCAGAGCCCCAAGCTTAGGTACCATCCTCCTGTCTCTATTCTCACTTTCAACACAGGGCACACCCCGTTGTCTTGTCCAGTTTGTGTTACCCCTATAGTGTTCCTCCCTTCTAAGCAGAGGGCCAACTGCCTTCTGAACCTACACTTTGTTCTAATTTTATAAATGGGTCACTGCTTGGGTGACCCCATCCTAGGACCTTGATTCCTAGTCTCAACAAAAGGTCTTAGCAGAGTCTCTGTCCCCCTCCTGCCTATACCCATGTCTAACTTGAAGTCTGTGCATAGGGCCTCTGCTCTGCAAAACCATATTTACTATTAAGAAAGAAGCCCCACACTGATACAGCTCTGGGGTTTCCTCTGTATGGCAGAAAAATGTAGTAGCCATTTCATGACAGGAGGGGATGGCACCTTGGCCAGCTAGTACCCAAGCTGGAACTGGAAGTCATCTGTACTTTTCCCTTGCCTTGACACTCTATCTGCTTACTAGCCACCTTGATCACTGGGCTTACTCTCTTATGTTCAAACTAACATAATAGCCACAGCATTGGGGGCCCATCTCCTCTAGGAGCCTCCTAAGGTCTATTCCTTCCAGGCAGAGGTGGTCTTAAGCCTTTTGAATCCTTCCTCTTAAAGCCAACCCCATAACACTTTACTCTCTATCCACTGGACAGTATACTCCTTGAGGGCAGAGAACGTGTTTGATTCTTATCCCCCAGATCTAAACACAGGGCATGCTTGGAGAAGGTGTAAGACATGTCCTAGTCAGCTTCAGCTGTCAACTTGACACAGCCTAGAGACATCTGAGGAAGTCTCAGATGAAGGATTGCTCAGATCAGCCTGGCCTGTGGCCATGTCTGTGAGAGATTACCTTGACTGATGACCCAGTCCACTGTGAGTGGCACCATCCCTAGGCAGAGGGTTCTGGGCTGGGTAAGAAACCTAGCTAAGCATGAGCCAGGGAGTGAGCCAGTAAGCAGCATTCCTTTTGGTTTTTGTTCCAGTCCCCGTTTGAGTTGCTGCCCAACTTCCCTCAGTGACAGGCTATAACCTAGACGTGTAAGCCAAACACTTTCTTCCACTAGTTGCTTTTGGTCAGTGTTTTATCACAGCAACAGAGAGGCAAAGGAGACCATGTAGGAAAGACAGCTGTCTTAGTCCACAGCATGTATGGACTAAGACTGGATGGATGAGTTCAGACAGGCCAGCACTGAGGGCCAATTTTCCAGAGACCACTTGTACTTCTGCTGATCTTATAAGCAAAGCATCAAATGCTCACTGGTCTGGATTAGTATCTCAAGGACATTGTGCAGAGAACAACAGCCTTGGAAGTGGAGATATTGTCATCTTCTTTCGACAGAAGCCGGTGTGGTACTGAATGGTGTAATAAAGGGGAAGCCTATCTTTAGAACAAAGGGACAGGAAGGTTCATCACTCAGAATATCTGGACTCCCTAAGCATAGGGCTTGTCTTAGCTAGGGTTACTATTGCTGTGATGAAACACCATGACCAAAGCAACTTGGGGAGGAAAGGGATTATCTGGCTTATTCTTGCAGGTAACAGTCCATCACTGAGGGAAGTCAGGGCAGGAACCTGGAAGCAGGAGCTGATGCAGAAGCTGCTTACTGGCTTGCTCAGCCTGCTTTCTCATAGAAGCCAGGACCACCAACCAATGGACTTCATTACCCACAATGGGCTGTGCTCCCCCACATCAATCACCAATTAAGAAAATGCCCTATAGCCTAATCTTATTGGAGGCATTTTCTTAATTCAGGTCCCATCTCAGATGACTTTAGCTTGTGTCAAGCTGACATAAACTAGCTAGCACAGGGCTCCTCTTTTGTAACCAAATCAACAGCTTATGGAAGATATCACTCGACCTTCCCTTCACCCCAAGGAACTGCAGCCAAAGGTAGTGGCACAAGAAAATCCTGTTACCCAGCTGTCACTGCAGCTGCATTGTCCTTTGCTTCTGGCCAGGATTCCTATGTCTTCTTCCAGTATTCATGAGGCTGCCATATGCCAATTTAGTAATTTGTAAGGAGGGTGAACTCCTAGCCCTTTACCATTCCTGAGAAACACAGAGATAAATTGTGGACTGCCCCAATGACCCATGAAAGACAACTGAGGAGGACTGTCAGGAAAGACTTCTGAGGCCGTGACCACACTTGCTCCATATGTCACACAATTATTTTACTCCTGACAGAAAGAGAGAGACTGTGTACACAAGAGTGGCCCAGCTGTCCTTGTATGCAAGGTGACTAGGGAAACCGGAGCCTAGAGAGGAGACAGGGCAATCAGAGTTGTGCTTGATTGTAGGATCTCAAACACTTCCAACAGTTATAGCAATAGGTGGCTAGTGGGATCCAGGCCACAGCATGGGGCCAAACAAAAGGCATTGGTGGCCATGTCTGTCCTATGAGCTCACAGGTCAGCTAGGCTTCTTTTTGTTTTAAGGAAGGAAGATTCTGGCAATGAAGAAACAAAACCTGCCAAGGGATATGGCATGACAGCTGTCTTTCCTACATGATCTCAAATCCTCTTAGGCTGGTTATTTTCAGACAAGCTTTAAAATGAAATATAAGAATTCTAAATAAGAGGGGGTGTGGAGATTGTTCGGTGAGCAAAGCGCTTGCTGCACTAGCATTGGGACTTGCATTCAAATCTGCAGAACCCACCTACAAGCCAGACCCCAAGTGTGGGTCTATAATCCCAGTACTCGTGCAGAGAGATGGGAGGGGGAAATCAGGAGAACGCCTAGACACTTCTAGGCCAACTAGTGTGCTATACATAGCTGTAACCAAAGCACACTGGCTCAAAGTGGACAGTGAGGCCCTCTAACGTCCACATATGTTCTGTGGCATGAGAATACCCACACTTACACATACATCATATACACTTATACACTATACATAACACACAACACATATGCATACACAATATATATAACACACATATCATATACAGATATATACTATAAATAATACACGTCATGTACACATACACACTACATATAACACACATCACATGCACACTATATATAACACACATCATATACACACATACACACTATATATCTCATACACATCATCTATATATACACACTATACATCATATCATATATACACATCACATATATACACATTATACATAACACACATACATCATATATGCACATACACTATACATAACACACACACAGAGATTCTAAAAAGAACATTTCTGTTTTAGTTTTTTCATTCTTTTGCTTGCCTCAATATAAAACAAGCTGTCAGTGCTGCCAATTTTTTCAAGGCCACAAGAGGACACTATGAGGACCTCAAACTACCAGGGAGGTAGGAACTCAGCCAGACTCTCTACAAGGGCAGAACAGAGCATCACACTCAGTGGCAGAGAAGCAGGCAAAAGCCTGACACTCAACCACAGGTGTTCGCTTGAGAGCTTTGCTGGGGACACACGACCAGGTACACAGCCATTCTCTCCAGCCTTCTGCAACATCAGTTCCTCCAGAAATGAGAAGCCCAGCAGCCTACCTTCTCTTTATGGAGCACTAAACAGACTGCCATGGTGATGAGCAGACAGCTGCAAATCCAAGCAATGATCTATGAAATCAGAGACCTGAGCCAGGTTTGGGGCTGTGATTAATTAACAATTTTAACTGTGTTCATCCGACATTTATTTAATGGCGTGCATAATTGTTGTGTTGTGTGGAAATGCGACCTGACTAGTGGGCAGTTCAGTCACGACTGTAGCCGGAAACAGACCAATTTAGCTCCTTCTTCAGTTATTCTTTGGGACTCACTAGCAATGCTTGCAGAGCATGCCCTGACCTCATTGAGATTACAAACCTTCACTTGATGCCAACAGTCCCTAGGTGAAGGAAGGCTCTTATTTCTCATGAGCACAATGGTGTGTGCCCTTTGATAGGCAGATGTGATCATTCTCAAGACCCATGTCTTAGAGCAAGTCCTCCAGCCCTCTACAAACTTCTCGAAGATGATATAGTATCCCTGAAGGTTAGTCTTACAATCAAAGCTCTTGACAAATATAGGGGTCCCTGTGTGCTGCAGCCTCTGAACTTAAATGGCCAGTAATATCTCTACCTCTATCCCTCAGACCACTCCTATCTGGCTAGGCAGTTCTTCAGGGAAATGTGTTCTGCAACTGCCTGTACACACCCCCAAACTGCTGTCCTAATGTCTCTATAATGTATTAACAAGCCATGGCCAAAGGGAGTTCTGCTGAAATAGGCAGTAGTTGGAGCCATTTGGACCAAATCCTAGAATGCACGCAGTATGCTGAGCTCCACAGTTTAGGAGCATGTGGGTCCGCTGTGAAATTACGAAATCGAAGCATCAGACATTAGCTTTCATGTGACCAGGGCAGGGCCAATTCAAAAGCTGTAACAGGCCTTTCCTGGGGAGGATGAGAGTCAGAAGGTACAGACGCTGAGCACTGTCAAGCCATGTGTGCACACAAGTTCATCCTGTGTTTTAATGGTGTGATCTGCCCGGCAGGCATGCGCTTCTCCTGGCCTTCTGCCCTCGCTATTGTCCAGTATATCCATTGTTTTTTAACAACAGCGAACACCGGAGTGTCCATCTGGATAGTCTGAAAACTACCTCATTGTTTGAGTGTAGTTTGTTCTTTAAGAAAAAAAAAAGGGGGGGGGGCTTCTCAACTTCCTTTCAACCTGTACACAGAGGGCACAGAGCTAAGCAGCCCTAATTAAAGAGTAGACAGGCCGTGTGCTGAGGTGTGCACACTGCTCATGTCAGCACTCTCTGGTTCGAGCATGTCAGCCAGAAATTTTGTCTGACCCTGATTTTGACACTTCACCTCTGAGG